TCTTCTCGACGGATGAGATAGTTACGGAGCTCTCCATAAGATTCGGTTAAAAGATGATGTGGGGGTTGACTCTTTCTAAGGCGGTGTGGATGAGGCTCTTAGATGACCATACTTACTCTCTTGGAGATGTAGCTCCTCGAACTCTGATGAGCTTGACGGGCGTGAACCCTTTTGGACTGGACTTTATTGAATCTCTTTAAGTTGGACTCTTGATTTAAACTGGGCACACGTCGTGGGTTGGGTCCTTGAACTTGACCCATCATTTTTAACTAGGCTGTAAAAGTTTTTCTTTTTTCCAAAGGCAACTGTTGTATAATTATTTTTCATTTTTCTAGGATGTTAACTATGCTATAACTGTTTTGTCTGTTGCAGTAGTTTTTGAGTGGCAGATACGTGGAGTCTATATAAAAGGTTTATAATGAAAGCAGCATGTAGTTTATTGCCTTGGTATATGTTCTTGTCAAAAATCAAATGACGTGTTCTATGTTCCCAATTCTTCCTTACAAGAGGAAGTTGTGGAAAAAAATGATCATCTCCTACCAAACCCAACAAGGCCAAGTCTTCAAATAAGACTCGCTGGCTTCCTTCAAAGAAAGAAAGAAAGGAAGAAGCAACCAATAAGTCATCAATAATGGAGGGTCTTCTCCCAATGGTATTAAAAACCATCAAGAAAAACAGGGTTCGCCGACAATACAAGTGTCTCTGCTCTGATGCTTCACAAAGCTACAACGTCTCCGACCTTTTTGCCGACCAGTACAGCCCCGGGCCGGCCATGCCACAACCAGAAAAGGTTGCTGGCTTCCGCACAGAGAGTAATGGGCACCGACGACACAAATCCGTCCAAATTGGGAATTATTTTGATGGGCTTTCGCAGGAGGATACTATCAAGTCCAACCAACTCGTTCGCTTGAGGAGTCGTAGAATGTTCTCTTGTGTGACTGGTTTATAAAACTGTAGCTTTTTACTCTAATGATCAATTATGTCTTCGCTTTTCTTTCTTGTTTCTTTTTTTTTTTTTTTTTTGTTTTGTTTTTTTTTTTTTGGGGGGGGGGTGGGAATGGGTAAGATGATGTTGCTTGGAAAGTCTTCTCTTCAAACAATGCTTACCCCAAAAGTCCTATGCAGCTTTGTTGAGCAGCAAATTGTTCATCAAATGTTCCTTTGTGCATCCTTTTTGATTAATTTGTAAAAATGGAAAGGCCTGCATTCCACAGTGCAGTGAAAGTGATAATCTGTTATGATCTGGAGATCATTATGGCACCGCAGAAGAAGTGCTGACATGACATTTTAAGAAAGGGATGGGATTAGGGGTTTATTTTCATTGCTAAAATTATAGAATAATAATCGTAAACGCACTAGCTAATAACTGGGTTCTGTATTTGCTTTGCAAATCCCTCTCAGTTGATTTGCAGGCCTGCTTGACAGATTGGCCACAGCTTTTACGCATTAATCTTCATTTGAACTCATAGAAAACATTTTATTTCATAGTAATCATAGGAAGCAAATAGTCTGCAGTGGAACCAGTTGCGGAGCGGAAAATTAGCTCAAGGGTGGGCAGTTTAACTAAGGGCGGGGGCGGCTCTATAATATGAAGCAATTAATGATTTTAGGCTTCCACAATCTGACTCTAATTTTATGTATGTTAATAAAATTGTGTAGATCACAAACCTAAACTCCATTAAAATTCAAACAAACCATAAAAAGGATTTCTGAAAGCAAAACGTCAAAAAAAAAATTCTAAATGCAATCTAAAAACTGTCATTACCAAATTATATTACTTTTTACCAAATGATCATATTGAGGTCAACTGTCAATTACAATCAAGTCATAGAGATATAAATGATAAATTATATTTCCAATTGAGAGTCCATTTGAAAATTAGATTTGTCTCAATTTGTTTCTCATAGATTTTAGAAAATTTGAAATTAGCGTGTTTTTATATTTTATATCAAAATTGCAATTAATTAATAATTCAAAAAGTAAGCATAATAATACCTCTAGAATTCAATTGAAACAAGTCAATCATCAATCATTAATAATTCAAAAAGTAAGCTTAATAATACCTCTAGAATTCAATTGAAACACATCAATCATCAATCTTAGAAAATTGGAGATCAATAGTAGGCCAATTAGAGACAATTTAAATTTTAAATTACGAATTTAAGACCAAAGAATTCATAAATATACAAATCAAAACCAATTTTGAGGGTGTACACAACTTATTATATCTAAAAATATAGCTAAATTTTATATATACTAGTAATACATCACGTGCATTGCACGAGAATATTTTTTCTACATAAAAATTAATATTACATATTATTATATGGATATTTGAGTTAAATATCATCTCAAATTTACCAAAATTAATTTTTCATTACTCATATTCTATTATAGGATTATGAAAAATTTATATATTCTCAAAATTGGATGTTCTAATTATAAGAAAAAATTGTTAAAGTTCTATTTTTTTAGAATTTTGTGATTGAGAGTGCTTTTTTAGTGATGTTTGAGAAATTAAGCCCATGTTTGGTTTGTGATCCGGAAACAATTTTTTGTTTTCAAAATTTCAAAAATACCCAAAACTTGTTTGTTTAGCATTTTTGTTCACTAAATTTTGGAAAAAAAATGAGATTTGAGTCAAAGAAACAGAAAAACAAGTGTAGCTATTTTCAGAGTTTTCTTTGAAAATTTGGAAAACAAAGAGAACAATTTTGGATCTTCAGATATGGGTATATATATATATATATATATATATATATATATATATATATATATATGGGGGGTATATATATATATTTGAAAGTTTGATTTATTGAATTTTTTTTTTATGAAATTATCAATCTTAAAATAACTTTTTTATATTTTTTATTAATGTTTGAATTACTGTTCAAATATATATTTACGCTGTCAAAATAGGTTTTACTATTTTTTGTATTGTAAAATTGTTTTTGAAATCATCTAACCAAACAAGTTTTTTATCTCAAAAAATATCAAAACCACTTTCTTAAAACTCTTCTTAAAAACTATTTTCGAATACTATTTTGTGAGGCGCATACCAAACAGATCCTAAATTTTTGAATTATCATTCGATTGGGATTCCATTTATAATTCTTTGAATTTAAATAAAATAAAAGTAATTGTCAATATACTACTCATATTGGAACTTTACTGTAATTAAGAATTAGTTAGGTCAATTAAGATAAGATTTAATATACTACTCTATAATATATATTTTAAAAGATATCAAAATTTTTAAAAAATTATGTTTTACTTAAGAATACACTACAAATTATTTTCACATAAAATCTTAATACAACTTAAAAAGTTTATTGTGATTGAAAAATTATATTGATATGGCAAAAATTAAACTTAAAAATATATATATACAATTATTTTTTTATCTTAGAAATGAAAGAGTTAAATTTTTTAATGAACAATAAAATAAACATATGTGCGGATAATGTTATCTTTGCATATGATATTAGTAATATTAGATTAATGGAGTTTTTGAAAGTTTTTATTAACACTTTATTGACATAAAGAAATAATAGATAATTTAGATATTTAATTGCGAATGGATAAAGTGGTCTTTATAATTTTTTATAAGAGTAAAATAAAGAATCAAAAGTTTTTCATATTAAGGTATTTTTATTAGTAGTATAGAATATAGATATAAATATAATTAAGAAAAATATTTGAGGGTGGACACCACCCCTACATACATCTGCCACTGAATGGAACTAGGGTAGTTTTGTGCTATTTGAAGTTTGGGAGAATTACATCTAGACTTTCTGAGATTTGTCACTTAATCACTCACACGCCTGATATTTAAAATATTACACACAAATCCCCTAAAATTTTTATGCACGTAACACTTAGACATTGTTGTAAATATATTTGTTACACATATATTAATTAGACCCTTTAAATTTAAAATGGTATGCTTAAACAAAAAATACTTCAATTAAAGATAAAATATCAAATATTTCAAATTTTACAATTAAAATTCATATTCTATTTGTATCATTTATTGAAATAAAATCAAAAATAAAAATTCAATTTTTTAAAAAAATCGTAATTAATATACTTAGAATTTAATTTGGTTGTTTAAACGACCAAATAAAAATACCAATTTACCCAAATTAAAGTTAAAATATATTGTGTACATTATAGTTTAACCTTTTGTTTATTTTTTTAGTATTATTCTAATAGATAATATAATTATATATTAACTATGATTTTTTTTTAAAACCTAGATTTTTATTTTTGATTTTATTTCAATAAATGACATGATATGACATAAATATTGGTTGTAAAATTCATATTCTATAATGAATGACTTAAACCCCTGTATGATTTTTTAGTTTTATTCCAATAGATAGTATAATTGTATACTAATTACGATTTTTTAAGAAAAAAATTAAAATTTTAATTTTAATTTTATTTCAATAAATGATACAATAGAATATGAATTTTGGTTGTAAAATTTAAAATATTTGATATTCTATCTTTGATTGAAGTATTTCTAGTCTAAGTATAATATTTTAAACTTAAGGGGTCGAAATATTATATACTTCCAAACTTCAAAGGGGCCTAAGTGTAATTTATCAACAAATATATTTACATCAGTGGTCTAAATGTTACACGCGTACAAATCTTAAGGGATTTGTGTGTAATATTTTAAATGTCAAGGGATCTGAGTGATTAAGTAACAATCCTCAGAGAGCCTGAGTGTAATTATCTCTTGAAGTTTTATTTACATAGTTTTTAAATCTAGAACGAACATCAACATGGCAGAGGAATCGAGTCATTTGTCCATCTGTGGATCAATTGATTGAACAAGTCATATAATTAATAATAATAAATATGCTAAAAGATTATATAGTTACAAAAATATACTTAACAATTGATCGAATTTGATGGATCATAAAATATTTACTATTAAGCTTGGATATTTGGTATACATAGCAACAATGTGATGACACCAAAAATACAAAATAAAAATTGAAAGAAGAAAAAAAGTAGCTCAAAGGTATTGTAACACCCCGCATTTTCTTTTATATATGTATATAGATATATAGTAAATAATTGTGATAAAAAAAATGTGGATATATGTAGTGATGTGTGTTTGAATTTGGTAGATTGAAAAAATAGAGATTTAAAATGTTAGTGAAAATAATAGTTGAATTTTGGTTTTAATAAGTGAAAATATGAAATTTTAGGTCCTAGAACTTGTATTAAATAGGTTTGGTGTAGAAATATGTGTTGGAGAGGTTTGTGATAGATTTGGTTGGCTTAGGAATGGATTGGAAATGGAAAAGGGACGAAGACAACCTATGAATAGTGCACGTGAACAGTGCACTGCTGCAACTTCAAGCTCGATTTAAATCTTGATGCAGTCAATATCTCTTAAAACTCAAAACATGAAAGTTTTAGAACTCTTTCGTATCAATCCATAGCATCTTGAATCATCTCAATCGGAGCTTGGATGAGAGAGTTATAATCAGATAACGAAATGATGTCGAAATAGTCCAATTAGCTTCATTTTGTATTTAATGTCTCCATTTGCATCCTAAATCAAAATATAAGAGTAATGAGTACTTTTAGGCTTCAAATAAGTATAAAAGGCTTTAAGAAACAACCTTTATCACCTTTTATTTGTAAACATCGTAAAACTTCATTAATAGCCGATTGAGATGGGTAAAATAGAAACTTTAGTGTTTCGGGTGTACGTTGACTTGAGTGTAGAGATAAATCATAAAAATAAATGTTTTTAGGTTAAAATAACATTAAAAATGAATCCCGGAACGTCGAAAAACCTTAGGGTAGTCATATGGATCAAATTGGAGATTCTTAGTGGCAAAATCGTAAATTTTGAGAAACCCAAAACAGTCAGTGAACAGTATTTTTCGGGGCTGCTAAGTTTTAAACTCATTTTCATCTCATTTGCT